GGGGTCCCGGCCGGCAGGGGCGGCGGCGGCGCGGCTCCGACTCGCCACGCGCGCGCGAACCCAGCGGAGACGTGCTGAGTCATCAGCATGAGGTCACTCGGTGCTCCTGCCGACGCCAGGCCGGGGCGGGCGAGCGGGCCGCTCCAGGCGGACGGCAAAATGCCGGACAGTGAGGTCTCTGGGCCGCGAATTAAGTTTGGCCCGGCTGCGAGTTGGAAGCAGGGGCGAGGAGGAGCTCAATGCACGCTTTTAACTTTTCTCCGGCTGGAAGGTGAAACACAGGCCCTCGCGTCCCTCCCAGGCTGCACTGCATGGACAGCTGGCCTTAGTCCCACGTTTGGGCTAGTTCCCCAAACTGGGAAACAGATCTTCGAGTGAGAAGAGGGGAGGAGCTTAGGTGGGCAGAGCCAGCCGGGCTGAGAAGCAGGCTTTCCCTGTGACTGGTCTGGCCGGCAAGGCTGGGCGCAGAGGACCGAGGGGCAGTGGTAGGCAGAGGGGTGTGTAGCATGGAGGAAGAAGGAACAGCCCTACCGCGAAATGGCAAATGAGAAGCAAGAGATGGAGATAGCGGGTGGGAGCTTCAGGGTGCAGGCACAGGGCGGAGAGATGCAGTTCCCAGTTAACCCAGAGTCGTCCCCACCTGCGGTGTGCGGTTTCAGTGTTGCAAGAAGTTTGCTGACTTCAAAAGTGTGCCCTGCTGGGTGACTAGTCATGCAGCTCTTGGGAAGTGACAGCCTGCATATCCTGCAGCCCGAGTTGCTCTTCCTTAGAGTGTACATGTGATTCCTGGCCTCCGGGATTTGGAGGTAGATAGGTGCTCACTTTATCTACTATAGCCCTTGCACAGCTCCTGCTTACCTTAAACTGACCTTATGGTTTGCCCTCAGGATGCCTTCCAAACGTGTAGCACCATGTTACTTGCTTCATCTCCTCCCACGAAGCCTGCACAAGTCCTAGGTTTGTAGGTGCCAGATATTTTCACACTTCACCTCGTCTCAGGTGGAATTGTATGCCTTAGGACAAGGGTGTTGAACCTATGGTGCTTGTGCCTCAGCCAGCAGTTTATTATTGCAAGCTGGAAAAGGTTCACCATCACTCCCCTAGGATAATGCAGGTTTCAGGGGGAGTGTTTCTTCTCCCGGTCACTTAAGCTTTAGTGGAAATGATATTTTAGATTCTTTCAGAAGAATGTCTATGAATCACTGCGGGCTTCTGGAGGAGGTGTACCTGGAGTTAGAGGTGCCAGAGCCTCTAAGCTATACCTCCCTGTGAATTTTGGCTACTGGGGTTTCCAGGCCAGGACGGACCAAGAGCCCATGTCTCACCTGTGTCAAGTCTGGGCTGAAGTTTGGGCTGCTTGAGAGGAGATGGAGCTGCCCCTGGCTCTCAGCCTGCGTGGATGGCCATTGGTGGCTTGGGGCCCTTGTGACCATCTGTGCCTCCTCCATGAGGCAGGTTCAGGCTTTGGGGGAGTGGAGGCTGAAGGATCCCTGAGCCCCAGCCCTGACCAGTTTTCAGGACCCATAGGAGGGCTGAGATAGGGGCAGCTTCTCCCTGATCACTCAGACTCTGGGGTCCCCTTCTGCCCAGTCTTTGTGTTCCCCTGTTGGCAGAGGTGAAGCAGGTGGAGCATAGGGTTTGCTGAGGCCTACCTCCCCCTCATGTACACGCAAGCATACATGTGCACACCTTTGATTAGAGGTGATTGGCCACACTTGTGCTGAGTTCAGGCCTTCTGCAGAGGGTGAAATCTGTCGAGGAGGCACTTTTTGGCTCCTAGCCGCCACACTCGGCACTTTTCCATGTGATCGCCTCAGGAAGTCACCCTTGTCATTGTGCTCAGCAGTCAGGGTGGGGGAGGAAGAGGATGGGAAAAGCCTGAGACAAAACAGGGTCCCTGCACCTTAATCTGTGCTTAGGGCCTGGAGCGCCTCCAGACTGTACTGAGAGAGCTTGTTCCTGGGGTGGGCCTGGGGCCAGCTTGTAGGATAGATCCACTGAGGACGTTCTGGTTTCTCCCTCTGGTCTCCTACCCCCTGATCTGGAAAGGTTCTTGCCTCTGAAATGCTCTTGGTTGCCTGACTTCTGAGGAGGTATCTCTGGCTTCTCCTGCTTTTTTTTTTGTATGCAGCTTCATCTCCTGGTGCAAGGATAAGTGAGGTGGGCTCTCTACTCTTGTGGGAACGTATGTTTCTACCTTCCAGGCCTATACTTTATTGAGCTCCCTTGATAAGGGTGAAGACCCCACACACACACACACACAGAATACACTCTCCCCACAGCCCACAATTGCTTGAGTCTGTGAGACCTCCTGAGGAGACTCCAGGCTACCTTACTTACACTCCAGCCACTTAAGGCTGACCTGGAAAGGAGGGGATAGAGCAAGGGGGGTGTCCTGCCCAAAGGTCTGGTGAGGCTGGGGTGAGTAGGGATTCTGTGGGCTGGGTGCACAGGTTTCAGAGACCAGAAAGTGAGGTTGGGATATCAGGGGCATTTGAGTACAGGGAAGGTGGCCCTCTGGCTCTCATTTGCTGACCTTGTGGGTAGTGACAACCACAGGCAGGAGTCAGAGAGCATTCAGAGGGGCTTACTCCAGGCTGCCTCAAGCGGAGCACCAGCCCCAGTGGATAATTGTGGGGGCCCTTGTGAAACAGCTGGGGTAGGGCAGGGGCACAGGATGCTGCAACCCAAAGCCACAGAATGGTTACTCCATCCTGGAGGAGGTAGACAAGGAGGTCTGGAGGGGCCTCAGGTCAGCTCGTCCTACCTGGACTGCCATCACCAGGAAGATGGGGACTCCCAACCAGCGTGCAGATGGAGCCAGAGCTTGCTGGAAGACTCACTTCTGACCTCAGGAGTCTCTGGGAGATCAGGGCTCCCCAGATCTCCAGAGGGACAGGCCCTTAAACCCTAGGGGGAGAGGGGCTTTGTCCTAGCCACTTCAGGGGAGGCAGCTGTAGGAGGTACACAGCACAGGGTCATTGGCTGTCCCTCACCTGCCGCTGGCCCCAGTCTCCTAGGGCACTGTTGGCTGGCCTCAGGAATGGCTTGGAGTAGGAAAGGGAGGGAGGCAATGTGCTGAGTCAGCGTGACTCGCCAGACCGGTGAGCTCTGGGGCAGCACTGGGGTTATTTTTAAAGCTCTGCTTCCTTCTAAGCCTGTCCCTCCCGAGGCTTCTCTAATCTCTTTCCCACCCTTTTGTCTAGCCCCTGCCTCTGTTGAAGCCTTCAGTTCCCCTTCCCCCATCATATTTCCCTGACCTCCTACCTTGCTGTCTAGGGGCAGGGCTGTGGAGGAGCCCAGAGGAGAGGCAAGGCCCACAGGCTGTCCTCATCAGGTATCGGGGGCATGGGCAGCCGATGGTCGAGGCTCTGGGGTTGGGCACCTGGACAGCAGGGTCCCTGGCGAGGTGAGAAGGAGTGTGGAGGTCCCCATGTGACTGGGAAGGGCAGGGCTGGGGTGATTGCTAGGTCCTGACTACTGCTCTGTGTCTTGCAGAGTGCCTGCTCACTGTGCCCCCGGGTTATGACGACCCCCAATAAAGGAAACAAGGCCTTGAAGGTGAGCGGGCAGGGATGGGGAAGCTGGGGCTAGGACAGTGTGGGGATGGGTGCCCCAGCTCTGCCATCACCCTGTGCATTATGCCACCCCAGGTGAAGCGGGAGCCTGGTGAGAATGGCACCAGCCTGACGGATGAGGAGCTGGTGACCATGTCAGTGCGCGAGCTAAATCAGCACCTGCGGGGCCTGTCCAAGGAGGAGATCATCCAGCTGAAGCAGCGCCGGCGCACTCTCAAGAACCGTGGGTATGCAGCCAGCTGCCGTGTCAAACGGGTGACCCAGAAGGAGGAGCTGGAGAAGCAGAAGGCAGAGCTGCAGCAGGAGGTGGAGAAGCTAGCCTCTGAGAATGCCAGCATGAAGCTGGAGCTTGATGCCCTGCGTTCCAAGTATGAGGCCCTGCAGAACTTTGCCAGGACCGTGGCCCGAAGCCCTGTGGCCCCAGCTCGGGGCCCCCTTGCTGCCGGCCTGGGGCCCTTGGTCCCTGGCAAGGTGGCTGCCACCAGCGTCATCACAATAGTAAAGTCCAAGACGGACGCCCGGTCTTAGGGATATGTGCGATTGCTGGGCGGTTCTTGGAGGGGCCACTAGGCGCATGGCAAAGTTGGCAGCCCTGTCCCTCTTCCTCTTTTTTCTTCCTCTTCTCCTCTCCCCCGTCCTCCCTTCCCTACAAAGCACAACCTGCACCCTAGAGGGGCCGGGCTGAGCCCCTTTGATCTCATCGTTGTCGTGCGTGTGTTTTGTACGTTGGGATTGGTCAGTTTGGCAGTGATGTTGGGTTGTGCCAACCCCCTTTGTACCAAGGCCATGTGGGCTAGGAGTCCAGAGTGGGCACTGTGGGAATGGATGAGGGAGAGACCGAGAGCAAGTGAGCAAGTGCACTGGGCCTCAGGTCTGCCCTCCTCTCCTGCATCCCTGCAGGCCCCACAGGCTGCTGGGCTGGGATGGGACTCAAGGGGTTCTCTCTTCACACCCAGCTGGGCAGCTCAGCTCAGTCCAGCAGGAAGAGATGGGCTCTACTCTGAGAAGTGGGATGCCTTCAAGGGCCCAGGACAGGTGAGCCACCAGCCTGGGCTCCGTAGGCGCTGGGGTAGGGGCTACAGCGCTTGGGCCTGATGTGGTGCACTGAACAAGACCAAATCACTGGTTGTATGTGTGGAGGGTGTGTCAGTGTGTCCTGCGATGGGTCCTATGTCACTGTTTACATGACCTGTTTGTGTGGTTATATAGCCCTTTATTTAAAAGAAAAGTTCCTTTTACGAAGTTATTAAATTATATGTTTAAGAGCTAAAGAGAAAAAAGAGCTGCAGAGTATTTATAAAATTGTCTTTTAAAAAAAAACAACATTTGACCATATAAATGGAAAAGGGAAGAAAGTATGATAGAAACTTTGCTAGTTTAAAAAAAGAAAAAAATCCCTTTCTTGTAAACTTACGGACAACTCTTTGTGGCTGTTGGAGTTTAGTTTTTATATACACAGAGTTATCAGACATTATTTATAAAACTTAGTTTAAAAAAAAGACAAAAAAAAAAAAAAAAAAAAAAAAGCCAAGCCGCGAGCCAACCGGAGGCACCCTCTTTGATATCTTTTGCAATTGTACCGAAAGTGACTTACTCTTCTGCCCTTCCTGCTTCCGTCTCTTGCCGGTGCCGTGGTGGTGCCGTGGTGTTGTCTGTGCCTGGTGAGGTTTTGTGCAGCCGTAAAGTGCTGGTGCTTCTGGTGACCTTTGACCTGTGGCTGTCCCTTCTTGTGCGTTCTCCTGTGTTTGTTTTTTGGATTTGGTTGTATTTCTTCTGCTACTGGCTTGCCAGACCTGAACTGGGCTGGGTCTTAGGCAGCACCAGCTCCATCAGAGTATATGGAGGGGTCTGTGCCCAGGAGCCCAGCTTCTGCTTTCAGCACCTGCCCCTTTCCCAGCTCGTCTGCCACTCCTACCCCTGCTGAGCTTTGGTTTCCTGTGTGTCTGGAGCTTGGGCTGATCCTGTGGTAGGGTATGGTGAAACTGAGGGCCCATTTGGGGTCCCTGCACTGCTTCTACATCCACCACCTTTGGCCCTGGGTGGTGGTGATGCAGGGACCAAGATTCACTGTGGGTACCCACAAGGTCATGGCTAAGCTGTCCCTGGCTGTCTTCCTTCTGCCTTGGCTATGTTCATGTTCATATAGGCTTCATGAAGAGCCACAGGCAGGACCTCTAGGGCCCATCTTGTGGGTTTTGAATCCCACCATTCATTTATCCTAAACTGTTTCCATGCTATATGGGGTGTTGCTTCCCATGCAGATTGGTCAGGGGCCCCATTAAGGGCAGCCCCATCCTCCCCTGCCTCACTGTGAGGTCCTGGGTGGCTTCACCAGTCCCAGACACGGGCTCTGACTCCAGAGCTGTTTCTTCTCTGCTCTGGGACCTCCTTCCACCTCCTTTGGAGTCTGTCTTCCAGGGACCTGCTGCTCAACTTGGAGGTGCTTCCTTTGGAATCTGAGCCCACCTCCTCATTCCAGCTTCCTGGTGAAGATTCCCACCTTCCTTCCAGGTTGGCACAGGAAGTTCCTCATGGGTGTGTGGCCTAGGTGGGTGTTCATGTGCCCACCTGAAAGAGGCTACAGCCTGATCTCTAGCAACCTGGGCCTTGGGCTCTTGACAAAGTTGCTGGCTTTTCTCCGGGGACCCTGGAACCTGAAAAGCACAGAAATATGGGCTGGTGAGAGAGAAGAGTATGGCCTGACTGGGCTTTACCTCATGGACAGCAGAATTTTTACTGAGTTTGACCTACTTATCTTGTGATAGGGGCTGAGCATCTACTGGCCCTGGTGCCTTGACAGTCTCCTTTTGCTCAAAGTGATCAGATTCTACTATTGGTGTCTGAGGCCACTGCAAAGGGACATTTTGTCTGTTGGCATCATCCCTTCCCTCCATGGGGTTATCTAACTGGAGTCCAGATGTGAGTTGCTAGTGTTGGCTATGTAGCAGTAGAGAGTCGGAATGGATCATGCTTATCCCTAAAGAAGCGGGTGGGGGCACGCACCTTTGGACCTGGCTGGGTGGTGGTTCCTCAGTGAATGTGCCCTCCAGGTGCCGACCAGCACGTATAGGGAGTATGCTAGTGACAGAGAGGAGGCTGGGGCTGGGTGCGTGTTGACAGAAGGTGCGGGTCTTGGTTAAGTTTACAGAACCTTCTCTAGTTGGTAAGGCGGTGCTTCCTTTCATGGTTTTTAGGGCAGCTGTTCCTTGGGTTGGGGAGTATACTGGCTTCTAGTCAAGCTAAGCTTGCGGGGCCACTTCATCCCTTTGCTACCATCTTGATTTACTGACAGTAGATCCTCTGTCCACATCTGTTACCTGTCTTTCTGGTCCCTGTTAATTCCATTTTCCTGCTGTGAGGATATTGTGGTCTACTTTTATCTTTCAGCTTTTCTGACACAGCGAATTGAGGGCTTTGGCCAAGACCAGGTCTCCCAAACAAGTCCGCTAAGTAAATCATAATGTGCGTCTTCCCTCCCACCTTGACTTTTTGCCCTTTATCCTCCTCTCTTGAAATGTACAGATTTCAGAGGAGAAACCCAGGGTGAACAGGTCAGCTCTTGCCAAAGAGTATGGCCCCAGGGCACCCTCCCTGTGGTCCCTGCCTGCTGTTCCAGGGTGGCGCTGCCATTAGTTCAGGTGCTCTGTGGCTACTCTGTGTTGTGTGCAGGGTTTTCTGCTGGCACCAGGCCTCCTTGTAGGCTGCCCTTGGTCTACTATTGAGGTCTATGTGCTCACCTGTCAGCAGTAGCCTCTGTGGTCAGTGCCTGGGCTTACCGCTTTGATAGGCTATAGCAGGCTACATCCCTGCTGCCTTCCTCTCTGGAGTGGCCACTTGGCTAAAGCTCCCCTCCACAGCTGGGAAGCCTGAGCCACAGCCTGCTGCACCATTTCCGCTCTGGGATCTTGTGAGTTACTTTTTTAGGCTGTGGTTTGGTGAAAGGAACCAACACATTAACGACTTTTTCCCCTAGAAGCCACTGGATAATTCTTGGCATGTTTTTGCTTTCCTGTTGGGTGTTTGGTTTTGGAGCTGCTGTGGAGAGCAGAGGACATAATCCGTGGCACACAGAGGCAAGGGTGTGCCCGTACTTCCCATGGCTTGCATGACCGGGGCGTGTACTGTACCTGCTGGGCCAGCCACATACAATTCTACCGCACCCCTGGAACAGCCACGTTGATACGGGTGTGCCTCCAGTCCGAGATGGAGCATAAATGTTCCAGTGAGCTGTGAGACCTCCCTGTTTTTGGTGACCCTAGTTAGGCTCTGAACCCCACCAGCAGCCTCATGTCCCAGCCCTGCTCTTCCTCCTGTTCCCTCCATTTGCTAGTCCCTGAAGCCTTTAACCAAACGGGAGTGGGTACAGAAAGCCTTCTCCTGGCAACTTAGGGCAACAGGACAAGGGCTATCCTGTCCCACTCTGTTGGTCTCTTTTTCTGTTGAGGTGTGTCCAAGCAGAGTTCAGCTGAGGGCTGAGCCAAGGAAGCCAAGGATCTGCTGGGGTGGGGTGGAGGATCCTTGAAGATCTGGGTGAGGCGTGGTGGGCTCTGGCTGTGAGGGGTGAGGCCTGGGACCCTGCACCAGTGTGGGGTGGTCAAGGGCCTGGCCTCGGCGGGCAGCCACCTTGCTGCCCCACCTGTGCCCTGTGCAGTATTTATTGCTAAATTATTGTCCAGGAGGGGTGGCGCTCGGTCTGGGCCCCCCCCGGGTATTTATTGCTGTATATAGTGTATGTTTGTGATATATAAGGTTTTCTTTATTTTGTATATGATCAATAAACGCCTTTTAAACATCTGCGAGTGCTTCTTTGGAGCGGCGCGGTGCGCGCGGTGAAGCGCCGGAAGTAGCGGGCGAGGTGTAGGAAGGGGCGGGGTGGACCTGACGTGCGCATGCGTACATGCTGCTGTGTGCCTGCCGGCCGAGGCGGAAGTCGGAAGCGCGGTTCAGGAGTGATGGCAGCCGGTGGTCTGAGCCGCTCTGAGCGCAAGGCAGCGGAGCGAGTCCGGAGGCTGCGAGAGGAACAGCAGCGGGAGCGTCTTCGCCAGGTAGGCCGCCGCCAGCCTCATGTCCACTCATGCCCACACCGTCGCTCACTGCCTGCCCGCCCCCCTGCAGGTGTCGCGCATCCTGAGAAAAGCGGCTGCGGAGCGCAGCGCTGAGGAGGGCCGGCTGCTGGCAGAGAGTGAGGATCTGGTGAGGGAACTGCAGGGCCGGAGCCGGCGGCGTGAGGGCCTGAAGCGGCGGCAGGAAGAGGTAAGTTCTGTGCGGCCGCTCTGGAGGGGTGGAGGGAAGGGGAGACAGGATGACCATCCCCGGCTCCTGGCAGGTGTGCGATGACCCCGAGGAGCTGCGGAGAAAGGTCCGGGAGCTGGCCAGCGCCATACGGAACGCCAAATACTTGGTGGTCTACACAGGCGCCGGCATCAGTACGGTAGGTAGGGAGGGACGGGCGGTAGGGAGGGACAGGCAGATCGGGCCAGCGGGCCAGGCCAGGTGGATGTGGGGCGCCCTCTTCTGGGAGACTGACCTGGGACAGAAGCCAGTACTAGACTCGCTCATCTTTAAAGGAACTCAAAAAATAAATAAATGAATGAATAAATAAAGCAACTCGAGGGTGTCTTCCTTCCTCAAAGATACGCAAAAAAACTAAAAACTAAGGCAAAGATTAAAAACGCATGACCTATATGTGTCAGTCAGTTAAAGACAAGGAACAGAGATGGAAACTAGTAATTGCCTACTGGCACCTCCTCTCTTAAAGTTGAGGACAGTTGATTAACCAGGTTATATGGACAGAGCTAACCTTCAGTATTTTCATTTCCTGATTCTTCACTTACTGGGCTTTTCCCTACGTTGAAGGAAGGTAAGTAGAAAGCAAGACAGAATTAGAATATACCTGGTAAAGAAGAGAATGGTCTAAATTTTTCTCTTAAGCTATCCTGGGTCTATGGGACATGATTAGCTTTGAAAGTGTGATGGGTACATCATTCATGTGATCTAACAAGTGAATATGGAGTGTTAGGCAGGTGTAGGCCCAACAGAGGTAAACACTAAGTGATTTCTGCTCTCAAGAAAGAAGCCCTTAGGTAGCTGAGCATGGTGTACTTGTAATCCCAGCTACTTGAGAGACTGAAGCAGGAAGATCAAAAGGTGGAGGCCAGTCTGGGCAACTTAGTAAGAGCTTGTCTCAAAAAAAAAAAAAAAAAAAAAAAAGTCTGGGGAGGGCATGAATGAGGTCCTGGGTTCAATCCCTAGTACTTTTAAAAAAAAAGGCTCTTAGATGAAAGTAATCACACAAAATAAGCGTAATACAAAGATAACTTTGAGATACTATCACACAAATCCAGATATAGTCTGAAAAGTGGGCATGATGACTCATGCCTGTAATCCCAGCTGTTTCAGAGGTTAAAATGAGGAGATCTCAAGTTCAAGGCCAGCCTGCACCACATAAAAAACCCTATCTCAAAGAAAACCAAAAGCAAAGATGGAAATGATAGATACTCTGTATTAAAAGCTGGGAAGCCCTTTCCTGTGAGCTTGCTGATGGAGGTGGCATTGAGTCAGGGCCTCAAAGCTGTAAGATTTATAGGTGAAGGTGGGTGTGAGGCACTCCAAACATAACAGCAGAGGCCCAGTAGCAAGAATGTGTAAGGTGCATTCACTGTTCTAACTCACAAGTACCCGGGGCTGCAGCATCTCTGCACCCTGTACACAGCTACATGTAAAATCCAGTCACGTGATTGTTTAACAACAGTAATGTGACCTTTTACAAAGTTTGCAGCAACAAATACCAAATATCAGTTTGATTGGAGCTTTACTGTTTGAGGTTCTTGAGTATGATAGTCAAATCACTGGTCAGGATAGGTATTTTTCTTTTCTTTTTTTTTGTCTCTTTGAAACAGGGTCTTGCTATGCAGTTCAGGCTGGCCTTGGGCTCACTTTGTAGCCCAGGCTGGTCTCAAACTTGCAATGATCCTCCTGCGTCAGCCTCCCAAGTGCTGGGATTACAGGTGTGCACCACCACACCTGGCTAGAATGGGTATTTTTCTGAGTTTAAGCAACAGTGAGGAGCCAGAAGAGAAAGCAGAATTCTTGCATCCTGAACACTATTTCTGCTTCCTTTTCTTGGGTATCAGTTTGTTTCACTGGATTAGAAACTTGGTAAATTAGATAATGTTTACCTCATCTAGAGAAGCTGTTGTATCTGTGTTGAGGTGTAATTGGAACTGTAGAGCTTCATAATATAAGAATTTGGAGGGCTAGGGATATAGCTCAGCAGCATAAGCACCTGCCTGGCAAGCGCAAGGTCCTGAGTTCAATTCCCGGTACCAAAAAGAAAAAAATATATATATATAAAAATTTGGAGGGAGGAGTGCTCCTACCCAGGGGCTTGACACTGGCTCAACATTTCTTGAGCACTGAGCCCCACCATGTGCACACAGGTGAACTTGACCAGTCCTCCAGTGTAGAGAACAAATGTGGCTACAGAGCCCAGGTTTGTACTCTGTGCTAGAGAGGCTGGGCAAGGGGGTATCAGGGCTCCATGGCACCCGGAAGGGTGATCTGTGCCATGTAGGAGGGAGTATTAGGTAGAAAGAAGGAGCTGTATCAGGGCACACTCCATTTTGGGTCCAGGCAGGTCAGCTGTGGGCCAGCCTGAAATATGACATGTCCCATTTTAGGGAATTTTGCCCGTCCCTACAGAGATGCCCTTTGACTGGGCTATCCTTTTTCTGAATATACAGGCAGCCTCTATCCCAGATTACCGGGGCCCGAATGGAGTGTGGACGCTGCTTCAGAAAGGGAGAAGTGTGAGGTGAGCAGCCCAGCAACCTTCCTGCATGGTGGAACTGGCCATGTGGGCCCAACTAGCTGCTCTCTCACTTTTGCCTGCTCTTTCCCTTTTGCCCAGCAGTGCTGCTGACCTGAGTGAGGCTGAGCCCACTCTCACCCACATGAGCATCATGCATTTGCATGAGCAAAAGCTGGTAAGAACACTATGGCTGTCATATCTGCCAGGCCTGGGACCCAGAACCCCACCTTGGTGCTTTTCAGCTCTCTGTAGAGTGACCAATCCACAGTGGGTCAGACTCCTGTTTGATTCTACTGTGCTTCTCCAAGAAGAAAGGGCAGCCCCTGTGCTGAGCCCTTTTCTTCTGAGTCAGTCTCCAGTTTCTCTTAGGGCCTTGGAAATGGCCCTAACCACAGGGAGGTTTCTCAGAAACCTCCAGAGACCTTCGTGGGGAAGAGAAAACCTGCCTGGACCCTGGGCAACCTGAAATGGAATGACCCAAAAGGGCATGATTCTGGGGCGGAGTGGCCATTTCTGCCCTCACCTAAGTACATAGCTGCTCCCCAACCTGGTAGGGACAGTATAGATATTTGTTGTCCTGGTCGCTCAGGAGAAGAACATGGTGCCCACCTCCCCACCACAGGACTCTCCTACTTCCCAGAGGATACACCTGCCATGTGCTTTACTTCATAAGGCCTTTTGTGGGGTTATGGTGATCCTTGGTCTTGGGAGCTCTTGGCCACCCTCTTTCTGACTGCTATCTCGTCTGCCTTCCAGGTGCAACACGTTGTGTCTCAGAACTGTGATGGGCTCCACCTACGAAGTGGGCTGCCTCGCACAGCCATCTCGGAGCTCCATGGGAACATGTACATTGAAGTGAGCAGTCCTGAGGGGACAAAGGGCCTGGGCAGCAAGTGAGTCCCACTCACTGTGCCCTCTTGTCCTTAGGTCTGCACCTCCTGCATCCCCAACAGGGAGTACGTGCGTGTGTTTGATGTGACAGAACGCACCGCTCTCCACCGACACCAGACAGGCCGGACCTGCCACAAGTGCGGGTCTCAGCTCAGAGACACCATTGTGCACTTTGGGGAGAGGGGAACGTTGGGGCAGCCTCTGAACTGGGAGGCGGCAACGGAGGCTGCCAGCAAAGCAGACACGATCCTGTGTTTAGGGTCCAGCTTGAAGGTACGCGCCGATGACAACATGAGCTCCTGGGAAGTAAGATTGTTAACACCCCTACCTGCCCAAACCCATCCATTGGCATTTGTTCATTTCTCCAGCCTTGTTCTCTTCGTGTGCTGTGTCTGTCCATCCATTCTCCAGGTTCTAAAGAAGTATCCATGTCTCTGGTGCATGACCAAGCCTCCCAGTCGGCGGCCCAAGCTCTACATTGTGAACTTGCAGGTAACTTGGATGCTAATATCTGTGCCGTTAGACCTGGGCCTTAGATCAGAAGACTCAGAGGGATGTGACACATTCATGAACCTTGGAGGTATAGTACAGGCCCAAGTGGGCCTGTAAAAAGTGCCCACTGAGCCAGTGACTCAAGGCTGACAGGCCTCTGGTAAGGACTAGGGTTTGGCCTCACTAACCTTTCCTGTCATCAGTGGACTCCAAAGGACGACTGGGCTGCCCTGAAGCTTCACGGGAAGTGTGATGATGTCATGCAGCTCCTCATGGATGAACTGGGCTTAGAGATCCCCCTCTACAATAGGTGAGTAGATGTAGCCACGTAACTGCCACATCCCTGCCCTTCCATGTGGTGGGCCGTGTCTGTCTGCTCCTGTGAGCGGAGTTGGAGGAAGCTCTGAGATGTTGTGAGTGCTGAGGTATGACTGAAGCATGGTGGCAGCCAAGGGGACTGGCCCCCATGGCTGGCTGAGGCAAGATTGCGCACACACACACACACACACACACACACACACACACACACTTCTGCCTGGCTGTGATGCCCAGAAGCCCTGCAGGGAGAGGGGATGGCCAGTATGTTGCTAACACGACATTCTTGTTGGCCTGTCAGACAAACCTGGATGGAAAGAGACCTTGAAGGAATGAGAACTTGGCAACTCTGGTCAGACAGACTCTCAGTGTCCTTGGTTTTGGGAGTTGGCATATTTGGGGGAAGCATAAACAAAATGTCTTAATTCAGAATTTGTGATAATTTAGACTTGGTGTATGTATTGAGTAAAAAGTTTACACTTTCTTTCTCTGTGAATTTTCAGGGTCTTATAGGGGAAATCAGTAACTTCTTTTAATCAAAGGGTTCAAGAAATTAAGGATCCCTTCACCTCTGGGCCTGGCAATTCTTGTATGTTATGTTTGTGGTGTTCTGTGATGTGGGCCTATCGTGTCCTGTATTTTTTTTTTTTTTACATTAACTTAGTTCATTTTCTTTATCAGTGCATATCTGTATCTTATGTTTATAATCTGTGGTTCTACATCTCAGACACATGACTCCTTCACAGTATAGTCTGTAGGCCACACCTCCCTAGTCAGCTGGCTTTCCCTCCCTCCATCGAGCAGTCTGGGAAGTGGGAAGAGGGTCTGGTCTGTCTGCCCCTGGCCATATGAGTGAAAGGTGGGGCCCAGGGTTGCTAGTGATTCACCCCTGGAGACAGAGGTGGCCTGGACTGCGGCCACCCTGCCCTATCTATGCCTGCACTGTGGATGAGGCACTGAGTTCTGAGAAGGCCAGCAAGGGCTGGTACTGGCCTGTGAGTTGCCACCCAAGGAGGTTACCTCTCCTGCAGCTCTTCTGTAGCTTGGTAACAGCCACAACTAAGACACAGGGAGGGAAGGGTCAGGAGGGCAGGTGACCTCCTCAGACAGCTTTCCCCTTGAGGGGGCGGGTTATGACTGGGTGTCTTGAGGTCTGCCTGATGCCGCTTTCCTTTTTTGGTAGGTGGCAGGACCCCATCTTCTCCATGGCCACTCCCCTTCGTACTGGTGAAGAAGGCAGCCACACTCGCAAGTCACTATGCAGAAACAGAGAGGAGGCCCTGCCTGAGGACCGCAGTACCCCTATTAGCTCAGCCACCATCCTAGGGGGCTGGTATGGCAGGGGCTGTGCCAAACGTGCAAAGAGGAAGAAAGTGACATAACTTGGTGTTGACAAAGAACAACAATTGGCACTTTGAAAACGGCTGGAACTTCCATTCAGGGGCAAGTGTCACTGCGAAGGCCAGCTTGTCTCCGGAAGCCTAGTGTGAACTTCTGGGTGACATTTCACCCTGACATTTTTAGCCATTTGCCCCATGGGAAGCCCCCTTGCACTGCTGTGGTCCCCCCAATGTGGGCTTGATCCCGGAGGGCACCTTCTCTATACTAAGGGGCTGGCAACGGGCCTTTCTGTGAGAACAGAGCTCAGGTTCTGGGCCTGGCTGGCAGAGGAGCCCACAGCTGCCTTACCTCACTCACCCAGCTACTCAGGGCCTCCTTTATTTCTACTTCTTACTAAATGTGTTAACTTTATAGAAACCTTTCTCTGTGTTGGGTGTACAGCAGAGCAGCGATTCTGAGACTGTGCTCCAAGCAGACTTCCTTCCTTATTAAATATCTGCACTGTCCTCCTGTCTTAAGGGGCTGCTGTTCTGCGCACCTGGGGTCCCCAGGGCGCGGCGGGAGGCATCCTCACGGCTCTTTCTTGCCCTACCTGACCACCAATTGCAAGGTGGAGGCGGAGCCCTGCGGGGGCGGGGGGGGGAGTGGGCTGGCGGCACTCTGCATTGGCTGCGGGCTGGGGGGGTGTGGCTTTTGGGCAGGCCGGGTGTGTCATTGGCCGGGCGCTGGGGGCCATGGTGGGCGAGGCGAAACTCAGGGCGGGCGGCGCACACCATTGGCCGCGCGCGGCGGGTGAGGCCCGCGTGACGGTTCGTGCGGGCTCCAGAGCCGGGCGGGGCCGCGGTGCTCAGAGTTTCCGGAGCTCCGTACCGCGCAGCTACTGTGGGACTATGATCCGGAACGGGCATGGGACCGCGGAAGGCGCCGGGCGGCTGGATCCAGCGGGCAGGAGCGCCGTGCGCGTGTGGTGCGATGGCTGGTGAGCGGGACCGCGGGCGGGCAGCAGGCAGCGGGCAGCAGGCGGCCTCCTCCCAGGGTAACGTGCCGGCCGTTGTCCTGGGCCCGACCCAGTGCCTTGGTCGACCCTGGCGGAACCACGAGGGAGCTGGCTCCAAGGCTCGCACAGACGCAACAGCAACCCCGCGGCCGCAGCGGTGCCCACGGGCCCGGGACCTTCCGGGGCTCGGGGCTTGGGGCTCTGGGCCGCACGAGTCCAGCTAGTCTTCTGGTCGCTCCGCGGGAGTTAAGCATGCAGTTGCTGGAGCTACCCGCAGTGCCCTTCGAGAAGGGCGAGGTGCTTCCTGTGTGCGGACAGCAGGGGGTCTCCGGGGTGGTGGGATGCACAGGCCGCCGGGCCTCGGCAGGGCTGGGGTTCGGTAGGCTTCTCTGGCAAGTTGAGTGAGGGCATTCCTTGCTGTCAGAAAAGTTGAGGGTTGTCAACAAGCCGAAAGAAAGGTGAGCTCTTCTAGTAACTTGCTGCCCTTAATTCTTTCTGGAACGGTAACTGACAAAAGCGAGTAAGGAACAGAACTGTTCAGCCCATAGGGGCTTGGAGGAGAGGAGGCAGGACTTTGCACTTTTTTGCATCTGAGTCGCCTTGGAAATAGGAATATGGTGGCTTCGTGTCATCGGACTCTGACCTTGGCCTTGACTGGGGGCCACAGTACCTGGACTTTCCCTGTGTTTCCCTCTGACCCAGCCTGTTCAGCAGGCACATAGGTTGGCCGCACTTCACTCTTGTCTGCTGGGGCCCTGTCTTAGTTGTGATTTTTTTTTTTTTTTTTTTTTTGTATCAGGAATGGAACTCAGGACCTTGCAGTTACCAGGCAGGCGCTTGTGCTGCTGAGCTGTATGCCCTGGGGCCCTGACTTAGTTAACTTTTTTTTTGCTAAGACAAAATTCCAGACGCCCAAGGTTAAGGGAGGAAAAGTTTATTTAGCTCAGTTTGTAGAGGTTTCAGGCCACAGTCGGCTGCCTCTGAGGCAGGGTGGCACATGAAAGAGGGTTAACTGTTTATGTTGGCGGGAGACAGCAAAAGCAAGGAGAGAGCAAGATAAACCTCTTTCTGTCCCTTATATTGTATCCAGTCTGCCTGGGGATTTGGGCGGTGCCAATCTAATCAGTGGACTGATCCAGCAATCACCCACCCTTAATCCCAGCATTGCACTACTAACCGATCACATACTCTGGATTCAGCCACCTCTGAAAAAACCCTATGACCCCATGAGGTTTTGGGGGACATCTAGACACAAACCATAACAGGCCCCTGGCACTGTGGTGGAGTGAAAGGGGCTGGAGCAGAGCACAGGACTGACCCACAGAGAAGTGTTCTTCCTGTTACCGGCCCACACAAGAACATCCATGAAAAGTGCTCATGGCCTGACCTGGATTTGAGGGCAAGAGCTGTAGAACCAGGCAACAGAAACAGTTATACACCCAGAAAGCTAAGCCAGGCCATGGGGGATGAAAATGAGATTTTCAAAGCCAGTGATTCTCAGGCCCTTGTTTTTTGATTAGGTTTTTTTGCTTTATGTTGGCCCCAGGGACTGGACAGCTCACTTGTGTCAGAGTTAATGTTGGTTTATTTATTTATTTATTTATTTATTGGTCTTTTTTTTTTTAAAGACAAGGTCTTGCTATGCAGTTCAGGTTGGTCTTGAACTCACTTTGTAGCCCAGGCTAGCCTCAACTTGCAACAATCCTCCTGCCTCAGCCTCCCAAGTGCTGGGATTACAGGCATGTGCCACCATGTCTGGCCAATGTTGGTTTATTTTAAAGTGACTGGTGAGAGCATTTTGTATTTGGTGATAGGAGGGACAAGGACAAAGAGGATCTAAGACATTGGAAATGGCTGTGCAGCTCCCAGTGGGTGAATTGATCTGGGCATCTTGCCAGCCCTGGGGACCTCATTAGGCCTTGTCCCTGCATGCCGGCACTGCCAGCAGCCTGCTCTCAGGCCAAAGATCTGGGGCTGAGGGCAGGTAAGTACCTACCTCCCCTCTGAAAGGCCAGGATGGGCTGGGTCATGGGAGCAGTCCCAAGCGTTGGATTCTCTGAGGACTTCTAAAAGTAGTCCTAAATGAGCAAAGCCGCACCCTATCACAGGGTCTCCTAGTCCCTACCCCTCTCGCTACAGCTCTTGTCTGTTCTGTGTGTTCCCACAGCTATGACATGGTGCATTATGGCCACTCCAACCAACTGCGCCAGGCACGGGCTATGGGCGACTACCTCATTGTGGGTGTGCACACTGACGGTAAGGTGTGGGCTGCTGTGCCCATCCATCACCCCATAGTCCACCTGGGGCCACCCCAGTTGAGAAAAGCCTGCAGGACTAGGGGCAGGGGGGCAGGAAGGCCCAGGCATCCCCTCCTGGAACATGCTATGACTGAGAGGTTGGCAAACTAGGCTCAGCCTGGCCCCAGCTGAGGATGCCCCAGTGTATAAAGAATAGGCTGGTAGAGTCCATCTGCAGTAGTATTACTGGACTAAGTTTCTCCGACTGTACTGCCCGTTCTCCTCCAGCCTTGACCTAGCTCCCATGGCCTCGAGGGACTGGCACCTATCCTGAGTCAAGGGGCCATCCGATTACCCAGTAGAGGCTGAGCATCTGTGCTGGCCAAAGGACAAGCAGTAGCTACTTGCATGTGGTCCTGGCCTGTGGGTTGAGGGTCCATTGATAGTGGCTGGCTGCCCACCACATGACCATCTGTGTGGTCACAGATCTGGTCAGTACAGGAAAGCAGTTTCTGAAGAAGCTAGCTAGAGGTCAGTTGTTTGTCTTTGTCTTTCTCTGGCCCTAGAGGAGATTGCCAAGCACAAGGGGCCTCCGGTGTTTACCCAGGAAGAAAGATACAAGATGGTACAGGCCATCAAGTGGGTAGATGAGGTGGTACCTGCAGCTCCCTATGTCACCACGTTGGAGACACTGGACAAGTACAACTGCGACTTCTGTGTTCATGGCAGTGAGTGGGCGGGACTTGGGGACAAGGTCTGGGCCCAGGCCCAGACCTCCTGGTGGGGCATCTGGAGATGGTGGGGATCTGAAAAAGCTCTGGGTCCCTACCCAGAAATAAGCACGCAAACACTAGGGGCAGCAGCCTGGGGTGGCAGGGGTCCTGGATCCCTGGAGGGCTATGGATTAAGAATCCTTATTTCTTATCTGCATATCACCCCCTAGATGACATCACACTGACCGTAGATGGCCGTGATACCTACGAGGAAGTAAAGCAGGCAGGGAGGTACAGGTAAGTCCCCAGGCAGCTCCACTCAGCAGAGCACGCGGTTCCCTCCCAGCTCATGCATGGCTGCTCTGCAGTAGCCTACAAGAGGAGCATCTGGGCCTGTGGCCAGGGCTGGCAGCTGTGGCAAGGAAGGTGCTTGTTGTGGGTTTGGATCTGGCAGCCCAGCTGCATAGCAAAGATGTAATAGCATTCTTCATGGTTGCTGGCTGTCAGGGTGCAGCTACTGAGCATTGTAGTACAGCTGATGCCTCTAAGGAGCTGCTCTTAATTAAGTTTAAAGACCCCACTGTTTTCAGTGTCTCTTGCCTGGGGCACTGCAGCCTGGAATTCCTTTGGCAGAGAATGTACAGTGGAGCAGGACTCGAGCACGAAGAGCCCCCAAGTCTGACCTGCCACTCCTAGGCACTTCAGACATAGGAGTCTAGCGATCTTCATGTTGCTTGCTCCTGTGGTTTTCTTTAAGGGAAAAAGCACAGTGCTCTTTCTCCTGCTCCTAGTCTGGGTTTTCCCTTGCAGCCAAGTATGAGGAAGAGGCATCAGTGTCGGGGCAGGGTAAGGGTTGCATCCCTCAAGTGGGGCCTGCTGCAGGTGGAACCTGGCTAGTGTACCCAGGATGCAAAGTCCCTAACCCTGCCTCTGCCCCTACAGAGAATGCAAGCGTACCCAGGGTGTGTCTACCACAGATCTCGTGGGCCGCATGCTACTGGTGACCAAGGCTCATCACAGCAGCCAGGTGAGTCTGAAGGGACCCAGTAGGGTCCCTGGGTTCCTGGGTTGAGGTCATTGAAGACAAGGCAGGAGCTCCACTCACCATCTACCCTCAGGGTCTTCCTGCCCTGCCTCTCAGTGCCCTTTCTCTGTGTATAGGAGCTGTCCTCTGAGTACCGCGAGTATGCAGACAGCTTTGGCAAGGTGAGTGGCCGCCAGGGAGTGGAGTGATTCCTACTGCCACAGGTGTCTCTTGCACCCACCTCCCTAGTGTCTCCCCATTGGGGGTAGGTCAGCTCAGCTTCACTGTTAGCCTCCCTATCTCCCTTCCCAGCATTGACCAGGCACTGGCCACCAGGCCTGGCCAGCTGGAAATCCATGCAGATGGCCTCTAACCAAGTGACCTGGCCCTGTCTCCCTTTGTAGCCCCCTCACCCAACACCTACCGAGGATACACTTTCCTCAGAAGGCTCCTCCCAGGTGACCAGATGGTGGCCTTGGTGTGCTAGGTCCTGCAGAAGGCTGTGTCCACCAGCCTTAGACTTTTCTTGGTGGTGGGGCACTGTGCCGATCTAGGGCCAGTCATGTTTGTGCTGGTAGCTAGGCCTCTGCTGCTGACCACCTCCCTCTCTTGGCTGACAGTGCCCTGGGGGACGGAACCCCTGGACAGGGGTGTCCCAGTTCCTTCAGACATCTCAGAAGATCATCCAGTTTGCTTCTGGAAAGGAGCCCCAGCCGGGGGAGACTGTCATCTATGTAGCTGGGGCCTTCGACCTGTTCCGTATCCTCTGCTGGGCTCTGCTGTGCCATACCCATGTCTGGATCAGGGGTGGGGTTGGGGCTGTGGACCCCTCAAGCTTTGGGGCTGTGCTGGGTGCAGAGGGACAGCCCTCAGCAGGGAGGATGGTGACGGGACCAGTGGGTGTGAGCTACACACCAGTGGGTGTGAGGAGTTAGAGATACTTGCCCTCCCTGCCTGTTCTTGCCTCTTAACTTGTGCATAGACATCGGACATGTGGACTTTCTGGAGAAGGTGCACAGGCTGGCAGACAGGCCCTATGTCATCGCTGGCCTACACTTTGACCAGGTCATTGCTCGCCCTCTGGCTTCCCAGCACTCAGGGTGCTGACAAGTTGTAGAGGCCCTTAAGGGAAACCTGGGGTCAGTGTGGGCTCAGGTGGCCTGTGCAAGCAAAGGGGACCCACTGGGCCCGAGCCTGATTCTCTTCCAGGCTTAAGGACTTGTGTCTGGGTTTCTCCTGTGAAGAGGCCACCTTTCCCAATTTTTTTCCACCAGGGACAGCTGGGAGGGAGGGCAGTTTGTCCACCTGAGGTCCTCAAGCTGAGCCGACCTCATTCTGGCCATAGGAAGTCAACCGATACAAGGGGAAGAACTACCCCATCATGAACCTACACGAGCGGACGCTGAGTGTGCTGGCTTGCCGGGTGAGTGGGGCCCCTTCCACAGTGAGGAGCAGAAGGGATCCGGTGGCTGTGGGCTAGCCATGTTACCCTGTCCTTGTTGGCTTATAGCCTTGGCCCTGTGTTGGGGCTGTACCCCCAGCACCCTCTAAGTCCCCTAAGCAGGCTTGATGCAAGTGGGGACCAGGTGAGCCCTTCTGTTTATTGTCCCCACAGTACGTGTCAGAAGTGGTGATTGGGGCACCATATGCAGTCACAGCAGAACTTCTGGGTCACTTCAAGGTGAGCTTCTGGTGGGGTGGGCACATTAGGTATTGCCATGGGCTTCCAGGAGGCCCTGGGACAAGGACTGGGTGGGGCCTGCCTGGGCAGCATCAGTGGTGGTAGCTTCTCTGGGGAAGGCTCCTAACCCTTTTCCTTCCCCAGGTGGACCTGGTGTGTCACGGGAAGACAGAGATTGTACCTGACAGGGATGGGTCTGATCCCTACCAGGTGGGTTGCGCTGACCTTCCTTGGGTCAGGGCCGACAGGCTCCTGAGCCTCACTTTCTTCTGGGAAATGGCACAGCCATTCTTGCTGCTGCAAGGCCCTGCAGCACAAGAAGGCAGACTTAATGGTCAGGAGGGACTTCATCTCCTCCCTCCTCTTGAGGCCCCTAGGAGCCCAAGAGAAGAGGCATCTTCCGTCAGATTGACAGCGGCAGCAACCTCACCACAGATCTTATTGTGCAGAGGATCATCAAGAACAGGTACCCCCACCTGGAGTGGTCCAGTTGAGGGGCATGTGTACCTGCCAGTGACCACAGGTTCCCTGGCCTAGCTCACCCCTGCCCTGCCCCCCAGGTTAGAGTACGAGGCACGAAACCAGAAGAAAGAAGCCAAGGAGCTAGCCTTCCTGGAGGCCATGAGACAACAGGAGGCACATCCTTTCGGGGAGGATGAGTAGACTGCCAGCCCACAGGACTATCTTGGAGAACCTGGGCACTACAGCACCCACTCTGCTCTGCTTCTACATCTAAGCATCTATGATGCTAAAGGAAGCCACAGCATCACCCTGGCTGGCCTCCTGCCTACAAGGTGCCTGTCCTGTAGCAGGTCCTTAGCTCTCACCACACAGGAGCAGTCCAGCCTGCACAATGAGCAGAAGGCACCTGTGACCCAGGGGATTCTGTTTCTGTCTGCTTCTGCTGACTGGGTTTCAGCTGTAGCCTCCCTGTCTTGGATGGGCATGCCTTCCCTCCTGGCCAGAGGCTGTACTGACTATCCACCCAGCTTTCATGGGGGGCACAGAGGGGACCGCCTTGGGAGCTGTGGTCCTGGGGCTAGCTGCCCCCAGGTGGGCACACTCTGCCCTGCAGCACATCCCAGCAACCCTTGCCTGGCTCCAGGAAGATTTCAATTTGCCCCACCTACCCGGCCAGCCTCGTCACTCTTCCACAGACTTCTGGTTCTCCAAGCTGTACCTCAGTGGCTGGTATAACTCATTGCAACTGAATAAAGCTTGGTGGGATGTGCTATTTGATTCCCAGCCCTGTGGGAGGAACAGGGAACTGTCCCACTCTCCCTGTGGAGACAGTGGGCCCCAGGTGCCTCCAGGCTACTTCCCACTGCCTACTGCAGAGGATCCTAGAGGAGGGAGGAACAGAAGGAAGCCAGGAAGTCTGGCAGCTCAGCCCCACCACTAGGCTCCTCCAAATGGCCACAGGGTCTTGGTCTCTGTCACCTTTGGTGAGTCCACTTGCAACAGCCCTGTCAGTGCAAGGACTGCCTTTTGCTGGTGGCTGTGAAGGAGGTAACAATTAGGTGGTTTTGTACCATTCAAAAGAGGATGGGGTTCCTGGTGTGGTGGTGCATGCCTGTTATCCCAGTACTCGGGAGGCTGAGGCAGGAGGATCGTTGCGAGTTAGAGGCCAGCCTGGGCTACAAAGGGAGCTCAAGGCCAGTCTGAACTGCAGAGCAAGACCCTGTCTCAAAAAGACAAAGAAACTCTAAACAAACGAAAAAAGAGGATGGAGCCCAGTGGTATAGCACTTGCTGAGCATGTGCTAGGGCCTGGCTTCCAACCCCAGCTCTACTTAAGAATGTTGGGTCCCTTTGGCCTTTGAGCCACTTGGGGGTGCTGGTGGGTTCAAAGTGGGCCTGTTCTTTGGCTTTAGCTATTTTGCGGCCGGGGGTGGGGGGTG